ACATGTAATTCATTTACCCCCCACCCCCCCCATCTCTCTCTCTCTCTCTCTCTGTCTCTCTCTCTCTCTCTGTCTCTCTCTCTCTCTGTCTCTGTCTCTCTCTCTCTCCTTCCTGATAACGGGAGGTCCTTTAAGCTCAAGGAGACACGAAGAGCCGTGGCCTCCCTGATCTATTGACACAATGATCGGCCATATAGTAGTCCGCTATCACTGTCCTTTGGTATCTCAGTTTCACTTGAGGAGCTCAGCCTGATGTGGGGTGCCCTCTTTTGCTCCTTAGGGTGATTTATTTATCAATGCCCCGCTAATAAAACTGGCGAACGTATCAGCTTCGATGATACTTTCCTTCACCTTGCAAATAAACGGAACTAGTTTGTATCAGTTGAGGTCTTGAGTAAACAGTTTGGTCTACAATGTACACCATATTACGTGTTTTATCATGTTTCCATTACACTACTTAGATGTGCTTTTTGACAGACTTTCTTACACCGCCGTACTCTGTCGTTCTCTCACTCACACTACCTTTTTCTTTTCAACCTTACTTTTCTTCTTTTCTTCTCGTGTTCTAGTTCTTGTTCTTGTTCTTCTTTGCACTCCCCATTTTGCTTGGTAAAAAAAGTGTTTACTCTGAAGAACATGATCTCCCTGTTATAGTTATACACCGACTTAACCCCTCTATCCTCCCCAGCCCAGCACTGCTGGGTACAAACAGTCAGTCTATACCACTGGGATTACCTATCTCTCCAGGATTTACGATACTGCGCACACGTTTCCAATTTGTTACAACGGGTAATCCGCCGTATTCTGTCAAAGATAATAAAATATCATATTATTTCGATATCAAACAAGAAGCAGCCCTTGAACGTAAGTGATCTGATCTTGATCAATGTATCGGGGCAGAAAATTCAAATTCTTGTCATAATTGTTCCAAAAATTAAAGATTAGAGAAAAAGCCGCTAACAGTAAAAAATAAAACCTTCCTTATTTGGAGGGGGGGGGGGGGAGTTCCTAAAATTGTGTTTCGACCCCCCCCCCCCCCCCCCCCCCCCCGACCCGTCAACAGTAAGAGCAGCACTAAATGCAGCAATGGCAGCAGCAGAGCCCAAAAGAGCGACTAGTTTAGTTTTAGTAAACGTTTCGAGGCACCTGCAATGCAATTAGGTCATATAAGTGCCAAAGATTAAAAGTGTTACGAGAGAGTAACAACATGTGAACAAAAGAAGGAGGGGAAATCAAGACGATAGATGTTACAAAGGAAAGAACACTCGCCTATCACCCACACATAGACGACATACACAGTAACAACATTTATATTCAAAGGAGATTTTATGTTAATTATCGTCTGTGGTAGGCATTGCTGATTGTTTGGGATCAAATAATAAACAACCAAACCAGGGCACATGAATTTTCAAAAAAAAAAAAAAAATTTTGACAAAAATCTGCAGACAAAGGAGTTGTCGAGAAATAGGTCGATCCCAGGAACCCGTAGCATGAAAGATTAGATTACTGGTACAATGTACATGTACTTATTTCTTTTAGTGTTGAGCAACTCGGTAGTTCAGCCAAAGACTCAAGCAACAACTGAGAGAAGCACTGAAGTAAGTGTATCAACATGTATATCTACTTGACAATGTGATATAGACAGTCTATAGGCGTGCACCCCCCCCTGAAGCAGGTAAAGATTGAGTCCATAATAGCTTCCAATGTACTATTTCTGTCGAAGTGCAGGCAAAGTTGCAGCCTATATCAGTCAACGATGGATGAGTTGATGTCGTCAGGGGAGTGAAAAATAGATCAACCCTTCCGGAGTTCAACTTAACCGTTGGGAACTGTGCGAAGCCGACTGTGGTTATCAGGGCTATGTATCACTCTTTTTAAATCTTTAAACTATTTTAAGGGGGGTGGGGTGGTTAATGCAAAACACTTTCCCCAAGGATCAAAATACTTTCTTCAGGGATGTAATGTAATGTCATACAGGATCAAACAAACTGACCGAACCACTACCTTTCGAAAGCAAATCGAACATGATACCGTTAGAGTTGGACACACTGACCCCTCCTAACTTAGAAAGAGCCGTCGAGGTCTGTGCAGCAATACAAAACCGGTACCATAACAATGTGAACCCGGCATTACCCTTACTTGCCAAGCGAAAAGCAAAGCCATCCCAGAGTAGAGCTAATGGTATGTATTGATTTCCTTTGTCTACCTCCAGTGCTAGGCTATTTTCTGCTATTGGTCAGCTGAACGCAAACTTACACAAATCCACTGCTCTTACGATTTTAACCCCATTTGTTTGAATCGGAATAGGGAGAAAAATCTTGATTTTTACAGGAGAAAATGGGAAAATAGGAGAATTGTCAGCGATCGTACTCTGAGCGAGGAAAAAAAAAACGGCTGGCGTTACTTAAAGGGCCCGTGTCCACTGCGACGGACACCAACCAACCCAATTCCATCCGTCTTAGTCGGTAGTTGAAATGAAGCATTATTTATTTTCTAAGAAATCAGTGAAAAGTCCATTTGGCTGTGTCAACAGACACGACACGGCACGCCCCGACAAAAGACGTGTCGGTTATTTATAGCCCCGTACCGAGGACACAGCCTTGGGACACAGTGTGTGGAATAAGACGGCCAGTAGACCAACAGACTAGATGTGTCTTGTCCGAACTGGTGGACCCACAAGACGGAAACGACCCTACCGGTTTTCTTCCTCCCGGTTAAAAATCGGGCCGTGTCCGTCTCAGTGGACACGTAGGATAACGCTTACCCAACGATCCCGTACAATCTTTGACGGACCTCTGTACGAAAAGATCGACTTCTACCTTTTTTTTTCCAACGTGAAGAATAAAGGCTGGTTGCCTTGAAAGACAACTAAAGCACATGTACCAAGGCACCTAACGCTAATTATACTGACTTCTCAGGCTTTGAATATTCAAGCAGTTATTGTTAATATGTAAAATTGTCTCATGTAAAAGTGCAGGTATTCTGGCCTTATATAGCTACAGTACGAGTATGCTACGATCATAATTATGCGTCGTTTACACCAGTGCTACGTATAGATCTAAATAATATATATACGGAGCAACATTGTTTGACAAAGTTGAAGTATCCTTTGACCGGGGTTCAAATCTGTATTATCCCCGTTGTAGTTTGTAGCCAAGCATGATATCAACTGAACCAGCCGCGCGCCCCAACATAGATTTAAAGTATCCCAGTTTTGTTCAATATATGTACATTTTTGTAACAACATACTTGAAAGTACTACATGTAGTCTATACCATTTTTTTGCTGAGAAATTTGTACAGCGAACTGAAATCACGAGTCAATATTTTGTTAGGAAAATTTGTGTGGGTGGTTGGTGAGTGCTCTGGTGTGGTTTACTCCTTCTTTCCTATTAAAACGTCTTTCGTCCTTATCTCTCCCCCTTCTATTTTGTGTATGTTACTATCTTGTAACGCATCTATTCTTTGGCACTTATATACGACCTTACTGTGTGGCAAGTGCCGTAAAACTCTTACGGAAACTAAAGTTGGGAAATCTGTTTCAAAGCTAAAAGCTAACATCTCTCTCTCTCTCTCTCTCTCTCTCTCTC